GGAGTGAAATCAGAACAAGAGGAGGAGACAGGGTGAGTGGGAAAGAAGCTGGAATGGAATGAGGAAGGGATGATAAGTTCTCCAGTTTTGAGTCGTCGAGCGATCGAGTACACTGCCTACCTGCGCTGTCACCTCAGCACCTGTGACCGAGGGAGCTGAGCTGAGACGCTCACCTCATCTGGCGACAGGAAGTGCATTTTTGAGAAGTGTATTTTTGAGAAGTGTATTTTTGAGAAGTGTATTTCTTATAAGTGTATTTTTGATAAGTGTATTTTTATAAGTTTATTTTTTACAAGTGTATTTTTTAGAAGTGTATTTTTTATAAGTGTAATTTTTATAAGTGTATTTTTTATCAGTGTATTTTTGAGACGTCTCAGAAATACGCTTCTTTCACGTGCTGCGACCGAGGCAGCTGAGTGAAATGCTCACCTCATCTGGCGACGGGTCCAGGCGCAGAGCAGTAGAGAGTGTGGTAAGATGGCCAGATGGTGGTTGGGACGAGTCGAGACCACTCAACAGCCGTCACCTGTGCTACAACCTAGGCAGATCGGCAGATGCTCACCTCATCTGGCGACAGCACCAGGCGCAGAGCAGCTTGCGGGTCAGCTGGAGCGGACACCGAGGGCATCAGCATAGTGCCCTGCCCTGATGCTACGCGTCCGAAATGAGTGAAATGCTTTGAGGCGTCTCTGACTCACCTCATCAGCTGACAGCACCAGGCGCACAGCAGCTTGCGGGTCAGCTGGTGAGCGGGCAACGCGTGCATAATGCCCCGATGCGACGCGGTCGAAATGAGTGAAGTCGAGGTGATCGTAGAAGGCACCTGGAGGGGCGCAGAGGGTAGCGGGGGAATATGCAGGGCAGGCAGGAACAGCCATTAGCAAAGCTGTAACGCCCCGAGCAGAGGGTGTAATGCCCTGAAATGATGCCCCACTCAGTTGAAATGAGTGAAGTCAAGGTGATTGTAGAAGGCACCTGGATGGGTGCTGAGGGGTAGCAAGGGAGTGTACAGTGTGTGTTTTTTGAGAATTCTAAAAAAACACACAGTGTACAGGGGAGGGACGGCTACTAGGAAAGGGCGTAGGGGCCACTAGCAAGGGGTCGAAAATACTGTTGAGATTTCTCAAAAGTGGTTTCAACACGGCTATTACGAATGGGCGTACGGGCCATAACATAAGCAAGCAACGGGTGGAATGGCCCGATGCGAGGCAGTCGGTCAAAGTGGTTCAAGTTGCGGTGATTGAGGTGATTTTTTAGGTGCCTCGAAACTCACTTCACGGCCCGATGCGAGGCAGTCAGTCAAAGTGGTTCAAGATGAGGTGATTATAGACAGCACTTGGGGGGGTGCAGAGGGCAACAAGAGAACGTGCAGGGGAGGAAGCGACGGCCATAAACAAGGGGCGTAAGGGCCATCAACAAGGGGCGTAAGGGCCATCAACAAGGGTGGAATGGCTCGATGCAATGCATCTAGTCAAAGTGGTTCAAGTTGGGGTGATCACAGAATGCACTTTGGGAGATGCAGAGGGCAAAACCGGAAAATGGAAGGCGGATGTAGAAGAAGGGAGCCTCTGTGTTGTGTTGAAAACATATATTTTTCTATTTTTTTCTTCTAAAAAGCTGAGGAGATCTATTAGGCGCCTCAAAAGAAGTCTTATTACAAAAACAGTACTCTTCCCTTCTCAAGGGCATACAACACACTAAAGTCAGCTCTAAATCCATCTGACAAGATGAACGTCTAGTTTCCCCGACGTTACCAAACTTGATTCGCGAGTTGCAGAGCATGTCGGGGTTGGGGGTGCGACCACTGCGGATCTCCCCCACACAGTGAGTTACCACCCGCTGCCAGTAGGCGTCTGTCAGGTGCACTATGTGCAGCGGGACGCTGATCTGCAGGGAGGGGTGCAGGAAGACACAGGGAGTATAAGATGACAGGGGGATTGGTGGAGTGCGGCCACTGTGGATCTCCCCCACACAGTGCGCCACCACGCACTGCCAGTAGGCGTCTGTGAGATGCACTATGTGCAGAGGGATGTCTATCTGCAGGGAGGGGTGCAGTGCGGTGCAGATAGAGGGAGACAGATGGATGGAGCACACATTAAGTGGCACAGTGAGCCACCCACCACGCGCTGCCAGTAGGCGTCTGTGAGATGCACTATGTGCAGCGGAACGTTGATCTGGAGGGAGGGGTGCAGTGCGGTGCAGACAGGTAAAGGAAGATAGATGAAGGCTCCACAAGGTGGCACAGTGCGCCACCACGCGCTGCCAGTAGGCGTCAGTGAGATGCACTACATGCAGCGGGACGCTGATCTGCCAACAGGGGAGTTCACACAGGGAGAGGGGTGCATGGAGCATGCTTTGAAAGGCACAGTGAGCCACCACGCGCTGCCAGTAGGCGTCCGTGAGATGCACTATGTGCATAGGGATGCTAATCTGCAGGGGAGAGAATCGACACAGGGAGCATGACAGGGAGTTAGGTAGGGTACGGCCGCTGCGGATCTCCCCCACACAGTGTGCCACCACGCACTGCCAGTAGGCATCAGTGAGATGCACAATGTGCAGAGGGACGTTGATTTGTAGGGAGGGGTGCAGTGCGGTGCAGATCGAGGGAGATGGATGAAAGCTTCCACTTGGTGTGAGGGTGTGTGTGGGTGTGTGTGTGGGTGTGTGTGTGTGGGTGTGTGTGTGTGGGTGTGGGTGTGTGTTAGATAGGATTTCACCTCATCACACACAGCCTGCGCCACAGCCAGATCATCCTCCCAGGGGCACTGCGACCAGAAGTTCTCAAAGTCCTCCTGGAACCAGATCTTCAACTGGTGGCTGTGCGGCTGTGCAGCTGTGTGCGGTTGTGTGGCTGAGTGCGGTTGTGTGGCTGTGTGCGGTTGTGTGGCTGAGTGCGGTTGTGTGGCTGTGTGCGGTTGTGTGGCTGAGTGCGGTTGTGTGGCTGTGTGCGGTTGTGTGGCTGAGTGCGGTTGTGTGGCTGTGTGCGGTTGTGTGGCTGAGTGCGGTTGTGTGGCTGTGTGCGGTTGTGTGGCTGAGTGCGGTTGTGTGGCTGTGTGCGGTTGTGTGGCTGAGTGCGGTTGTGTGGCTGTGTGTGGGGGAATTGTTAGACAGAAACTCACCTCGTCACACACAGCCTGCGCCACGGCCAGGACGTCCTCCCAGGGACACTGCGACCAGAAGTTCTCAAAGTCCTCCTGGAACCACAAGTGTGCTTCCGTGTGGCTAGGTGTGGGTGTGTATGGGTGTGTGGCCAGGTCATCCTCGTTATAAGCAGAGTGGAACGTACCTCGTCACACACAGCCTGCGCCACGGCCAGGTCGTCCTCCCAGGGGCACTGCGACCAGAAGTTTTCAAAGTCCTCTTGGAACCAGATCTTCAAGTAAAACGCCTCGCACTTGTGCCCTGCCGCGTGCAGCAGCCTAAGCGCCACGCTGCTATCCACACCGCCACTTAGCAGCACCGCCACCCGCAGCGGCCGCTGCTGCTCCTGCGAGTTCCCACTGATACTTAGCGGTTCGCAGCACTCCAGGACCCTTGGATCGTCTAGATCCAACGGCTGAGATTCCTCTGCGGAATGAGCATTGTTCGATAGCCGTTCAGGTACTACACGCGTTGGAGCGGACAAGATTTGGATGGAGGAAGGGGAGAGGGTATTGGCATTGTCCGGAGATGAGAGTTCCGTAAAAGAAGCTTCGTTAGAGGGTTCCGACGACGAAGAATGTGCGCTGCGAACGGCGGCAGTCTGGCTGTCGCGGAGCGAACCAGGACGAATGGAAGGACGCCACGTGGCGCTTGCAACGCAGACGCTGCTAACATCACTGCTTCTTGTGCTGCCGGGAATACTACGCGACGGGTCAGTGAGAGCCTTGACTCTAAACCTTGCTGCTGCGGCGCCTAACGAGGTGACGTTCTTGCAAAGAGTAAGATTATCCTTTATCGACGGTGATAGTAGCGGGGGTTGTGGACCGCGTGGAAGAAGTGATTGTAACGGTCGGAATGTAGGTGCACGAGACGACATGCTTGGAAATGAGGGGTGCGAGGAAGAAGGTCGCAGGATAGTCGCAATCAAAACGGCGGGAGCAGCATGCGACGACGTGACGAGCGGCGACGCGAACAGCGACGACGAGACGAGCGATGACGAGACGAGCGACGACGGTTCGATTGCTCGCCGGATCGACAGGAGGACGCGACGGGCGACGAGTCTAGCTTCGAAGCGCATCTGTCGTAGGACGTCGCCTTTACGCTACCCTTCAGTCAGCCAAAGCTTCGAGCGAAAACGCGCCGCCGTTTGCAATACCATGTGCTACCATGCTCGAGTACAAGGACCTGACCGTATGGCATACTTTTATGTAAACAAGCATCAGCACAGCTCCTTGTCCCACTTCAGAACCCTCTTGTACTTCGGAGGCGATGTTTGCCTGCTGGCGAAACACGACTGCCTTTGCCTCGATAGCATCCCACGTGGATTCGACTTCCAACCGGTTTAGAACAGCACGCACCTCACTTAACCGAGTAAAGGGCACTGGTTTTGCAAACCACAATCAGCCTCGCGAACTTCCTTAGATTCGCCTGGTTATGCGGTTACAAGCTGCATGCACTCAACTGGGTTCCCGCCAGAACGAGCTCCTATGATTGGCTCTTATGCCGCGCCGCAGAGAATGCGAAGATGTGCGGCTTCAATTTCCACAGCGAATAATCGTTCTTCTTCGTAAGCCCCACACCCTCATGACAAGCTCCGCCTCCCATAGCTCTCCTGCTCCCTTCCCCTCAGGACTGTCAAAATAATTTCTGTGACTAAAAAAACCGTAACAGAACATTTGACAAGCACTCTGCAACGCGAAAGAACTCAGGCAACTTAGTGCGATACATACCTGAGGAGCTTGATCTGAGGGTTACACGCGGTAAACGAATCCTGAACTTTTCCGTCTTTCCCGCCGTTTTCGCGCTGTATGATGCAAGACTACTAGATCTGCATTAGCTTTTCAGTCTTAGCCTGTAAAATGGCGGATCCGAGAATTCGTAGGCAAACCTACACAGCCGCATCCCAGCCTTCCCGCGGTGCGTATCCGCGCGGATCTGTTCCCCCGCAGGCGCAACGCGGGGTTGGATCCAGGGGGAGCGGATCCGGTCGCGCAACTGCTGGCGGAGATGCAGGATCGGGGGAACGGCAACCCGCGGAGACCGCGGAGCAGGCGGCGGAGCGGGAACTGCGCGAGCGGCGAGAGCAGGAGCGGGCGCAGGAGGAGCGGGAGAGTGATGCGCGCGAGCGGAAGGCGCAGGCGGCGGAGCGGCTGCAGCGAGAGCAGCAGGCGGTGGTGTCGCTGGAGCGATCGGTGCGTGCTAAAGCGCGCGATGTGGAGTCCCTATCCGCGCAGAGCACGCAGATGGACGAGCAGGCCTCAGCGATAAGGTGAGGTTTCTGGGAGGGGATGAATCACTGCGGGAAAAGACAGCGCAGCAGGCGGTGGTGTCGCTGGAACGATCGGTGCATTCTAAAGCGCGCGATGTGGAGTCCCTATCCGCGCAGAGCACGCAGATGGACGAGGAGGCCTCAGCGATAAGGTGAGGTTAGTGGGAGTGTAAGGAGCACTGCGACAAAGACTGCAGCAGGGTGTGGGAGTGCCTCTGGAGCGATCGGTGCATACTAAAGCGCGCGATGTGGAGTTCCTATCCGCGCAGAGCACGCAGATGAGAAGCAGACTTCGGCGATAAGGTGAGGTTGCTGGTAGAGAATGAAACTTTGCGACAAAGGGAGCAGCAGGCGGTGGTGTCGCTGCACGAACTGCGCAGAGCACACAGATCCGCGGCTTGTGTGTAACCTTGTACAAGGCTCACAATTTTTGTGTACTGTACTTTGTAACTTTGTAACTTCCCCTGACTCCCCTGGCAGGGCAGGAGCTGCTGCAGTGCTTCAGGCTCATTCGCTGCAAGTGAACGGCTTCCGAGCGTACCTAGAGTCTGAGAACCACAGCCAGTGTGACTGCAAGGATCACATACTTATATTCTCTGAATTTGTAACTCTGTAACTCCGTAATGGCAGGGCAGCGAGGGCAACCGTGCTTCAGGCTCATTCGCTGCAAGTGAACGGCTTTCGAGCGTACCTGGAGGCTGGGAACCGGGGCCTGTGTGCCTGCAAGGATCAAAGGCAGCAAATCACAAAAAAAACTCACTTTGTCTTCCTTTACACCTTCCACTGTTGTGTAATGTGTTTTGTCTCTCTAACACACGTGGTAGGCCGAGGGCAGCGGTGCTTCACGCTCATTCGCTGCAAGTCAACGGCTTTTCGAGCATACCTGGAGGCTGGGAGCCGCCATTATTGTGTAACTTGGTGCAACGCTTTCGTGTTCCTGTTCTGTGTACTGTACTGTTTTGAGACGTCTCAAAACTTGGTGCAAGGCTTTCGTGTTCCTGTTCTGTGTACTGTACTGTGTAACTTGGTAACTTCCCTTGACTCCCCTACCAGGGCGAGAGTGGCGGTGCTTTGCGCGCATTCCCTGCAAGTCAACGGCTTCCGAGCGTACCTGGGGGCTGGAAACCGTGGCCTGCGTGACTGCAAGGCTCGCATCTATTCTCTAATTTTGTAAGACTTCATCTCTGTAACACACGTGGCGTGGCAGGGCGAGGCCGGCGGTGCTTCACGCTCGTTCCCTGCAAGTCAACGGCTTCCGAGCATACCTGGAGGTTGGGAACCGTTCGGTTTATGTGACTGCAAGGCTCACAATTTCTGCTCATGTGTAATACTGTAACCCCATACAACTGGCAGGGCGAGCACAGCGGTGCTTCACGCTCATTCCCTGCAAGTCAACGGCTTCCGAGCATACCTGGGGGCTGGGAACCGCGGTCTGCGTGACTGCAAGGAACGCATTTCCTCCGCCCTTGCAGCTTCTGCTACGTTCACACGAGGATCAGGAACAGCAGCAGCAGCAGGACCGGCAGCAACGACAGCAGCAGCAACAGAAGCAGGAACTGCAGAAGCAGCAGCAGCAGCAGAGCCTGCAGCTTCTCCCCCCACTGCTGCTGAGACGGATGAGGCTCTTTCTCTCCTGCAGAGGTTTCTGCTAGCCCGGCTGTCCGATGCCATTCACTCCCCTGCTGCTGCTGCTGCTGCTGCTGGTGCAGCTGCTGGTGCAGCTGCTACCACCAGTGGCATTTTCTCCCTTGCAGCAGTAAACCACACACTGCCCACAGGCATACATCAATCCACAGCTCACCTCAATACAGCTTCGGCTAATGCTCCTCCCCCTCCCCCTCTTTCTGCTGGTACTGCAGCTGCTGCTAGCGCTACAGAGGCAGCAGCAGGCAGCAGCAGGGCAGCTGCTTCTGCTGCTCCCGCTGCCCCCACGAGTCCTGCTGTTCTCCTATCCTTCCCGGGAGGCCTGGCTGATCTGGCACCCATAGCATGGAGCGAGCTGCCTGTGGGAAGCTTTTTGGAACGCGCGAGGCTACATCCGGAGGGGTTGGTGGCGGTGCTGCAGGGTGCTGTGGAGAGGAAGGCGGAGGAGATAAGGAGGGAGTGCGTGGAGACAGATGTGGAGGAGGAGGGAACGAGACTGGGGTAAGTGCATTAGGTAGCTTTGCTTGTGTGTGGAAGGTATGGGACCCAGGGAAGGTTGGTGGTGCTGCAGGGTGCTGTGAAGGCGGAGGAGATAAGAAGGGAGTGGGTGGGAAATGATGTGGAGGAGGAAGGAACGAGACTGGGGTAAGTGCATTAGGTAGCTTTGCTTGTGTGTGGAAGGTATGGGACCCAGGGAAGGTTGGTGGTGCTGCAGGGTGCTGTGAAGGCGGAGGAGATAAGAAGGGAGTGGGTGAGGGCAGATGTGGAGGAAGAGGGAACGAGGCTCTGGTAAGTGGGGGATATGCAGTGGTTCCAGGGAGTAGGTACGGGGTGCTGTGGAGAGGAAGGCTGAGGAGATAAGGAGGGAGTGTGTGACAACTGATGTGGAGGAGGAAGGAAAGAGACTAGGGTAAGCGGGTGACAGGTAGATTCAGGGTGGTTCTGGAGGGTAGGAATGGGGTGCTGCTGGGTGCTGCGGAGAGGAAGGCGGAGGAGATAAGGCGGGAGTGTGTGACAACTGATGTGGAGGAGGAAGGAAAGAGACTAGGGTAAGCGGGTGACAGGTAGATTCAGGGTGGTTCTGGAGGGTAGGAATGGGGTGCTGCTGGGTGCTGCGGAGAGGAAGGCGGAGGAGATAAGGCGGGAGTGTGTGACAACTGATGTGGAGGAGGAAGGAAAGAGACTAGGGTAAGCGGGTGACAGGTAGATTCAGGGTGGTTCTGGAGGGTAGGAATGGGGTGCTGCTGGGTGCTGCGGAGAGGAAGGCGGAGGAGATAAGGCGGGAGTGTGTGGGAAATGATGTGGAGGAGGAAGGAACGAGACTGGGGTAAGTGCATTAGGGATGAGAGGAGTGGGTAGTTAGGGTGCTGCGGAGAGGACGGAGGAGATTCGGAGGGAGTGGAGTGTGCATGGTCAGATGTGGAGGAGGAAGGCACAAGACTGGGGTAAGTGGGGAAGGCTGGCACAAGGTGGGGTGGATAGGTTGCAGGGTGCTGTGGGGAGGGAGGCGGAGGAGATTCGGAGAGAGGAAGCGAGGACTGATTCGGAGGAGGAAGGCACAAAAGTGGGGTAAGTGGGAAGAGTCAGTTTGTGTTTGGAAGATTTGGGGTTGGGGTTGAGGGGAGATTGGTGGGCGCTGTTTCAGAGTTGTGTGGGGAGGAAGGCGGAGGAGTTTCGGAGAGAGTGTGCGGGGACAGATCTGGAGGAGGAAGGAACGAAGCTGGGGTTAGTGGAAGAGAGTCTGTTTGTGTGGAAGGTTTGGGATTCAACCAGAGGGGTTGGTGGCGGTGCTGCAGGGTGCTGTGGGGAGGAAGGCGGAGGAGATAAGGAGGGAGTGTGAGGGGACAGATGTGGAGGAGGAGGGCCCAAGACTAGGGTAAGTGAGGGAGAGTCTGTTTGTGTGTGGAAAGGAAGGTTTTGGGTTCAGGGGAGGAAGGTGGTTTTGCAGAGTGCTGTGGGGAGTGGTGTGGTGCACAGCGTTGTGGTGCAGAGCGGTGTGGTGCAGAGCAGTGTGGTGCAGAGCGGTGTGGTGCAGAGCAGTGTGGTGCAGAGCGGTGTGGTGCAGAGCAGTGTGGTGCAGAGCGGTGTGCTGTAGAGCAGTGTGGTGCAGATTGTTGTGAGGAGAATGGAGGGGAGGGGGAACGGTGCACTCTTGAGCAATAGGGTGCAAGTGACAACAGCACTCATATTCCCAATCTCTCTCTTTTCGTCTCCTTTCCCTTGCTTATCATCAAAGTGGTTATGTCAGCCCAGGCACCTCTCAGTACGACTGGGGGAGGAACAGAGGGGGTGATTGTTGACAGTGCCGTCGACAGCAGTCTTGTTCCTAACGTCGCTCCCTTCCTCCCTGTCTCTTGCCTATCACCAGACTCGCCACCCTAACCCGCGCCCCTCTCAGTGCGAGTGGGGGACGAGCGGAAGGGATGACTGGTGGCAGTGACAGCCTCAGCGGCAGCGGCGGCAGCGGCAGCGGCATTGGTGGTGGCACGTCAAAGAATCTTTTGCGTAAGGCAGCAAAGCATGCATCGTTTACGCCTGCTCACCGTGGTGCTGCCGCTGCTACTGCTGCTGCTGCTGGGGCTGGTGGGAGCACAGGGCGAGGAGTAAGGGGTGGGACGAATCAGCAGCGCCGGCCGCCACAGTCAACGCAGGAGCTGGTGCTGGCGAGGCAGGTGAGAGTGAGAAAGAACTGAACCTCCCTCCCGACATATACACAGGGAGAGGAGCAAGAGCTGTGGTGAATCAGCAGCGCCAGGCGCCACAGTCAACACAGGAGCTGGTGCTGGCAAGACAGGTGAGATTGACTTGTGGGAGGAAAGTGCATGTCTCGGCGGATCCCACAGCTGCTGCGCCGAGTCAGCAGCGCAAGGCGTCACAGTCAACGCAGGAGCTGGTTCTGGCGAGGCGGCTGGTTTTGGTCAATAGCTGGGAGTTTTATGTTTTTTGAGAATTCTCAAAAAATCAATAGCTGGGAGTTTTATGTATCCCTGATTTCCTTATCCAACATCCCTCATACGCACATCCTCTCATTATCATCCCTCTCGTCGACCCCTTCCTCTGCCAGAAGGAGTATCGCAACATGTGCCTTCAGACACAAGTGCTGAGGAGGAGAGCCAATTCAGTGAGGCTGGAGGTGGAAAGGAGGACCGCTGATCAAGCAAGCAGGCCCACTCCCTCCGCTTCCCCCCCCCCTCTCTCCATGTCCCTCTGCCAGAAGGAGTATTGCGACCTATGCCTGCAGTCGCAGGTGCTCCAAACGAGAGCCAAGGCAGTGAGGCTGGGGGTGGGAAGGAGGATCACTGATAAAGCAAGGAGGCCCACTCTCTCCCTCTCTCACTCCCCCCGATTCCCTCTGCCAGAAGGAGTACCGCGACCTGTGCCTGCAGACGCAAGTGCTGAGAAGGAGAGCCGAGGCTACAAGGGTAAAAGAAAAAGGCAAGCAGAAGGCTCTCTCATTCCCTCTTCCTCTCACCCACTCTCTCATTCCCACCCCACTTCCTCCTTTCTCACTCCTTCCGTCTCCCTCTGCCAGAAGGAGTACCGCGACCTGTGCCTGCAGACGCAGGTGCTGAGTAAGAGAGCCGAGGCAGTGAGGCTGGCGGTGGAACGGAAGTCCGCTGGTGGAGCAAGCCAGCTTGGGGATGGAAAAGGACGAAGAGAGGGGGCAGGGGAGAGGGGGGAGGAGGGAGGGGAGGAGGGAGAAGAGAAGGGAGAGGAGGGGGGAGGGGAGGAGGGAGAGGGTGATGAGGAGGATGTGGAGTTGGGGATAGCTATGGCGGAGGCAGAGTTGAGAGTGCTTCAGGCAGCAGAGAAACGACTATCGAGGTGGGGTATTGGCATTGGCATATTGCATACTATGAAGGTGGGTGGGTGAGAGTGTGGAGAGGTGAGAGGCTGGGAAGATGTGGAGTTGGGGATAGGTGTGGCGGAGGCAGAAGTGTGGGTGCTTCAAGCAGTGGAGACACGACTGTTGGGGTGAGAGAGCTCCCTCAAGCATGCAATTCACTTGCTTTTGTGGAAGCGACTTTGAAGGTGGGAGACTGGAAGATGTGGAGTTGGGGATAGCTGTTGGAGAGGCAGAACTGAGGGTGGTGCAGGCAGCAGAGAAGCGATTGTGGAGGTGAGAGGTCTCAGTCACGCATGCAAAGCACGTCAACACGCATATGCGAGCTTGAGTTGGGGATAGGTGTGGCAGAGGCAGAGCTGCGAGTGCTGCAGGCAGCAGAGTAGCGACTGTTGGGGTGGGTAGACTAGAAGAGGTGGAGATAGTAGTAGTTAGTGAGATCTGTTGCCTCGGCCACAGTCAGGCTGCTGCAGCAAGTCTATCGGTTGACGATACAATCGCCCCTTTTCTGGTCCCTCTGTTCGTGCTGACTCGCAGTGAGGTGGCAGCAGCAGGAGCCACGAACCGGATAGTGCTGCCACAAATTTATCGTTTGATAGTACAATTGCCCCTTTCCTTCTCTCCATAACTCCGCCCGCATTTATTCTCTCATCATGCTCCCTCCCTCCGTCCGTGCTGACTTACAGTGAGGTGGCAGCAGCAGGCACCACGAATCGCACACTGCTTCGAATGAGTTGTGTACCAAACGCATGCCCTCCCTTGTGAGATTTCTCAAAAGGGGTTCTTTTATCGCCACTCCCTCCCCTCTTATCCCAGTGAGGTGGCAGCAGCAGGCGCCACGAATCGCAGAGTGCTGCAGCAGTGGGAGCGAATTAAAGGGTTCAACGATGAACGCAGCAATAAGTGGGCGGAGTACGAGCTTATAAGGAGGATAAACCAGGTGTGCCATGTCGTTTTCCCTTGCTTCTGTCTGGGAATACCATATCACGATGTGTGGGCAATGGAGCTTCTGGAAATCCGCATATCAGAAGACATGGCAAACTTTTAGACTTGCAATTGTGAGGTGGCAGTTTGTGCTTAGCTGTGGGGGGTAATTGGCCGAATCAGGAGAGGAAAACAAGCCTACACTCATCTCTCTTCCTCTGCCAATCCCCAGTCAGGCGTACGCCCACAGGTGGTGGAAAATCACCAATGGAGAGGCTGCATCTGGAGAGCACGATGTATCTAACCCCTCCAAACCCATCTGTACCTCGCGTTTTCTGCACCCTTCAAAACTCCCCCACACCCCCCCCCCCTCCCGGAAGGCCTATGCCCACATGTGGTGGAACCTCACCAATGGGGGGACAGCCTCAAGAGTGCACGACGTATTTAAACCCATTCGAACCTATCTGCACCTTGTGGACTCTGCACCCCCCCCTCCCATCAGGCCTATGCCCACATGTGGTGGAACCTCACCAATGGGGGGACAGCCTCAAGAGTGCACGACGTATTTAAACCCATTCGAACCTATCTGCACCTTGTGGACTCTGCACCCCCCCCTCCCATCAGGCCTATGCCCACATGTGGTGGAACCTCACCAATGGGGGGACAGCCTCAAGAGTGCACGACGTATTTAAACCCATTCGAACCTATCTGCACCTTGTGGACTCTGCACCCCCCCCTCCCATCAGGCCTATGCCCATATGTGGTGGAACCTCACCAATGGGGCGACTCAGAAGGCCCTGGCAGGACACGTGGCAAAGGCTGGAAGCGCTCTGATCGGCTCAGTGCGGGCGGCACGAAATCTGGCTATTCACGAGGCGACAGCTGGCGTGGCCCTGCCGCCCTCCTGGCTGTGCCACCCAGTCTCCTGTAGCTTTCCGTCGCGTAGTGAGACGTCTCATACGTCGCAGACTTCCCAGACGTTACAGAACCCATTGCTGTCCTCTGAGAGGGAGGCACAGGCACAGGCACAGGCACGAAGCAGCTTTAGCTTTCCATTGGCGGCTGTGGAGGGGGAGGGCGAGGGGCAGGGGCAGGGGCAGGGGCAGGGGCAGGGGCAGGGGCAGGGGCAGGAACATTCATCTGCTTCGTCTGCCTCTGCTGCTGCTGCTGCTGCTGCTGCTGCTGGTACAGTTGCTGCTGATACTGTACCCTGGCCTCTCTTCTCCTCTCTCATTCACTCTCTCGCTCTCTCCCCCTCTCCTCTCCCTCTCCCACCACTACCCTCCTCTTCCTGTCCCTCCTCCTCTAATGCACTTACACGTTCTTCTGATAGTGACCCGATTCTCCCATTGGCTGCTGAAGCTGCCCGGGTTCTTCGGGCAGCTTGGGAAGCCAATGACGCGACGACAGGTGGCAGGATAGATGGGGGGACAGGGAATGAGTTGGCAGCGCATGCGTGGGGTTGCACTGGTGGGGGGAGTGTGTTGAGGGGGAGGGCTGGAGTAGAGAGGGAGAGGGAGTGGCAGAACGAGAGGGGAGGAGTGAGGGAGGAGGGTAGAAGAAGTGGGCTTGAGGGGGGCGGAGGAGGAGGAGGAGGAGGGGGAGGGAGGGGTGTGACGTCAGCAGTGTCTCTGAGCGCGGATCTCCAGGCAGTGGCTCAGTTTGTGGATGCCATGTCATCAGCTGCTGACGTGGCGGCTGGCAGTGCTGCTGAGCTGGAGCCAGCTGTCGCCAGCATGGCACGGTAAGCTGGTTTGGTGCATGGGGCTGGTGGGATGTCAGAGTGGTGCATAACGGTGGGATGGTGTGATTGGTGGGTGCAGATGCATGCATGTGGATGCATGCGTGTGTGCATGGATTCATGTGGCTTGTAGCAGCAGGCAGCACATGGAAGTGCGAGCAGAGTGGCTGCCTGACCTTGCTGCTCTCTCCCTCTTTTCTCCTTTTTCCCATTCCCCGACCCTCCATCCAGGCAACTCTCTGGCGTGCAGCAGCAGGCGGAGCAGCAGCACGTGGAGGTGCTATCGGAGTGGCTGCCACGGCTATCCCTTTCCCCTCACCCCTCACTCCCCCCTTCCTTCCTATCCCACACCCCCTTGGTTCATCCAGGCAACTCTCTGGATTGCAGCAGCAGGCGGAGCAGCAGCACATGGAGGTGCTATCGGAGTGGCTGCCACAGCTGGCACAGCTGCAAGGGCAGTCAAGGCAGCTCGTGGCACGCACTCAGAACGCCTCTGACCTGGTGAGTCCATTCGCTTGCTTGCTGTGAGCCGTTTCACCTGGTTGCTGTGAGTCGTTTCACCTGGTTGCTGTGAGTCGTTTCACCTGGTTGATGTGCCTTAAACCTGTTAGTGTTGCACATGAGGAGTTGGTGCAGTTGTAATGGCTGCCTCAGCTGGCGCAGCTACAGGAGCAGTCAAAGTAGTCCATTGGTGGAAGCAACCGGCACTTGGGATCATCCCGTGTGCTCAAGAAACACACAACTCGGCCAGTTGTGCGACTCTTCGTTTCGATTGTGCAGGTCTCCCATTGGTGGAAGCAGCCTTGACCTTGGGATCATCCCATGTGTCTATGAAACACACAATGACTTCCCTACACCCGCACCCCCGTCATTCCAAACATGCAGGTCTCCCATTGGTGGAAGCAGCCGGCCCTTGGGATCATCCCATGGTTGACAGTGGAAGGGAGGAGCATGGAGGAGTGGGCAGTGGCACTAGAGGCCGCTCAGATGCAGAGGGAAATGTAGATGTGCAATCACGGAGAGGCAGGGAAAGGCAGCTTGACAGTGAAAGGTAAACGCGGAGGGGATGTCTTTTGAGTCGACTCCAACAGGAGGGGAGGAGCATGGAGGAGTGGGCAGTGGCTCAGATGCACAGGGAAAGGTGGATGTGAAATGAGAGGCGGCTTGACAGGGAAAGGTGGATGTGCAATGAGAGGCGGCTTGACAGGGGAGGCTGACGCACGGGGAAAGGTAGATGCACGGGGGAAGGCGGCTTGACAGGGGAAGGTTGACGCAGAGGGAATGCCTTTTGTACCAATGGCACTAGAGGCAGCTCAATGCATGGGGAAAGACAGAACAGATGCCCATCGAGAGGCTTTGTTGGAGATGCACACTGACAAATGACTGATTACATGCTAGACACGGTCTGTGTCAAGATATCGGGCATGTCAACGAAATGAGTCAACGAACGCCCCTTCTGCATACGGCCAAGAACGTGTGTCATAGTTGCCAACTAGCCATATACCGGTACTACATGATTTAGTGAATGTCAAGATGGCAGAACAAGAAAAGCATAAGATGCTATAAGATCGCGTACAGTGTTGAGAACACGACTTCCCTATACCGTGCATGGTGCTTCAAATAGAGGTGGCTGGGCATCACTGGGCAGGACGGCCATGGAACCGACATCTCAGGTCGAGAAAAATTGGCCACTCACTGGGAGAGATGCGTTTGGCGGTGTGTTCTGATTGGAAGCCTCAATTCTCCCGATACGTCAAGCACTTCGCAGTCGGTTTCTCGAACAGAAATCCCCTTCACGACAACGGGTAACCACGAACTCGAATCCAGCCAAGCCCAACTGCGGGCCGCTGGCGCGCTCTGCGATTTCCAAAGAATGAAACCTCCTCAACTCATTTGGCGCGCTTTAAGCACCACTTGAAAGTCCCTCGCATCTTCCCAGAACGACGAAACAGCCTTCCAACCGCTATTTACCGAAACGCTAAATGAGACCCTTCTTCTCGCTGCCTGATGGGACCACTTCCGCCACTCCGCTTCCCCGAACGTCCATACAGCCAATTCCCCCGCCTACACAGGCGACACTCCCCTCTCGCTTTTGCCCCCATATCCCCGCGGAACTTCTCCGCCCAACTGAAGTTTCTGCGCTCCAGCTCCCCTCTAAACAGCCCTCTCAAAGTACAAAAAGCAGCTCCATTTTTCATGTGAAGCAAGTCCAATTCTTTGAGCTGCATTTCTCCACGTTTCTTGCTTCCCAACGAATTTGACACCGCTCAGAAGCCATGGCCGCCCTCGCCAACGCTGCCGTGCTCCCCTCCACCTTCGTCGGCCAGAGCGCTGAGCTCGCCGCCAAGGTGAACAATGTCGAGGCCCGCGTGACGATGAGGAAGACCGCCAAGGCGGCTTCCAGCAGCGCCTTCTACGGCCCCGACCGCAACCTGTTCCTGGGCCCCTTCAGCTCCCCCCCGTCGTACCTCACCGGCGAGTACCCCGGTGACTATGGCTGGGACACCGCCGGTCTGTCCGCTGACCCCGAGACCTTCGCCAAGAATCGCGAGCTCGAGGTAAGCCTGACGAATCTCGAACATCACATTCGAAGAACATTTTCTGAATGGAAACACCTACTTCAAATAACCAGCTTTCATACTGTACCGCGATTTTGATTGCGAACGAATTCTGTCTTCCTGTTCGCCTTTGTTTCGTTGTATCTTCAGGTGATCCACGCTCGGTGGGCCATGCTCGGCGCGCTCGGTTGCCTCACCCCCGAGCTCCTTGCCGGCAACGGCGTGAACTTCGGCGAGGCCGTGTGGTTCAAGGCCGGCGCTCAGATCTTCTCGGAGGGTGGCCTTGACTACCTCGGCAACCCCAGCCTGATCCACGCCCAGTCCATCCTCGCCATCTGGGCCACCCAGGTCATCCTCATGGGTGCCGTCGAGAGCTACCGCGTGGGTGGCCTCGAGGGCTTCCAAGAGGTTGAGGACCCCCTGTACCCCGGCGGTGCCTTCGACCCCCTGGGCCTGGCTGACGATCCCGATGCGCTTGCTGAGCTGAAGGTGAAGGAGCTGAAGAACGGCCGCCTCGCCATGGTGTCTATGTTTGGGTTCTTCGTTCAGGCTATCATCACTGGAAAGGGTCCCCTTGAGAACCTCTCTGAGCACCTGGCTGACCCCACCGTGAACAACGCCTGGGTGTACGCCGAGATCTTCACCCCATGAAGCGGATATTAGCGGTTCCGTCAATAAATTCCTGTATATTATTAATATAAATTATCAGCGTATTCACGTCTCTGCGCGGAATGTCTATGATACATTTCACAATATCACACCGACAATGAATTGGTCCACTGAATTACAAGTTCCCTTGCCAAAGCCATCTGATCCCCACGATACAACCACAGCAAGAATGCCGTGCACATGCCACAATTAAACTAAGCAACTTCAGCTATAATATACACAAGCCAGATTAATATTCAATTGTTTTCAAGATGTGGAAACGAGACCGTGGTCGGCAATCGTAGTGTATAATCAACCACAATGCACAGGAAATGCTGTGTTGCCCATATTATCGCTGTAACTACAGCTTCCTGGCGCGCTTTTAGCTTCCTCGCCACGCAAAATGGTGAAGCATCTTGGATGACAGCAGAGATAACACGGACGCCTGGCCCATTGGGTGTGCTAGATTGGACACCGAACAGTCGCTTCCCTGCTTGGCGAAAGTAATGAAGACGTGATAATTTCTCGCTACCGAGCACAATGAAGAACCGGCTGACTTTGCTTTGGTTCACATTTCTTCAGGACAGTGGATCAATACACAAAACAGAATCGTTACTGGTTTGTCAAATGGGATGCGACCAGGTTCATTTTGCAACAAGAAAGTGGCCTGGGGAAAATGATAAATATTATACTTTTATTATTGAAATGTACAAGAGTTTTTTTCATAAGAAAATCGAGAGCTTACGCACCGGGGGTGAAGTTGGTGGCATAGGCCCACGCGTTGTTCACGGTGGGGTCAGCCAGGTGGTCGTTCAGGTTCTCCAGCGGACCCTTGCCGGTGACGATGGCCTGGACGAAGAAACCGAACATCGAAACCATGGCGAGGCGGCCGTTCTTCAGCTCCTTGACCTTCAGCTCAGCGAGCGCGTCAGGGTCGTCAGCCAGACCGAGGGGGTCGAACGCACCGCCGGGGTACAGGGGGTCCTCAACCTCTTGGAAGCCCTCAAGGCCACCCACGCGGTAGCTCTCAACGGCACCCATCAGGATGACCTGGGTGGCCCAGATGGCCAGGATGGACTGCGCGTGGATCAGGCTGGGGTTGCCGAGGTAGTCGAGGCCACCCTCCGAGAAGATCTGAGCGCCGGCCTTGAACCACACGGCCTCGCCGAAGTTCACGCCGTTGCCGGCGAGGAGCTCAGGGGTGAGGCAGCCGAGAGCACCGAGAAGAGCCCAGCGAGCGTGGATCACCTCAAGCTCGCGGTTCTTGGCGAAGGTCTCGGGGTCAGCGGACAGACCAGCAGTGTCCCAGCCATAGTCGCCAGCGTATTCGCCGGTAAGGTACGACGGGGGGGAGCTGAAGGGGCCAAGGAACAGGTTGCGGTCGGGGCCGTAGAATGCGCTGCTGGAAGCCGCCTTGGCGGTCTTCCTCATGGTGATGCGGGCCTCGACATTGTTCACCTTGGCGGCGAGCTCAGCGCTCTGGCCGACGAAGGTGGAGGGGAGCACGGCGGCGCTGGCGAGGGCGGCCATGATGTCTGAAAGAACGGAAGGCAATGTTGGGTTGTTGATTGGAAGTGCTGAGCTTGGGAATTCTAGGAATTTGCGTAGCCTTTATTCTTGGATTTCGACGTGAGTGATTATTGCCTGGTGGTTGGTGAAGTGGCAAAACAAAAGTTCTACCCCTACAGACCGTTCCGAACCGAAGTCAAACCAGCCGAACCTCATGCTTCACGGATGTCCTCCACCCACGAAACGTCAGGGACCTGGCGAACCGCGTGGTCCACTCGGGGAGCGACACACACTGGGGGTCAGGGTGGGTCAGGCAACTTCGGATTGGTTGTGACGGATGCTGATCATTTTTGTGACCAATGAGGCATCCCGAAAATGATTGGCGAATGCCGTTCCGTTTTTGTGGATTATTGAGAATCTTGAGCTTGATTTCAAGGAAGAGAGAATCCTCGTTTCAGTCTTTCTCGTGAACAGTTCGTGAATGTCAGGGAGAATCCTTCGTATAAGATGCTTCAAGTAGCGTGTCCCTTGAAATAGTTACTAATAGTTATGGAAACTTTTTGTTGTGTGTCCTTTGACTGGAATTCTTACCCGGTTCAGGTGTTAGGGGACCATAATTCTCCACACATGCTGATCTTCAGATTGCTACGGTCCATTGGGAATCTTTTAGTCATTGTGCTCATTCAGACTGATTCATTATATCCAGCACATTACTCAGTGACAGAGGAATCTACAAACCGCTGCAATTCCAGGTGTGCAAGTATCACTACCGAGATCACCAACTGGGCAAGTATCACTACTGAGATCACCAACGCTATGCATTTGATTTGACTCCTGTTAGTCAAGTCAAGCCATACAGCCTTTTCGGCATGCCTGTCACGGAGAGTTCTGCGGAAGCGGAGGGTTTAGACGAGGACCGTTCAGAGGGGCGGAATCCAGCGGGAGTTGTGGGGAGTGCTGAAATGGGAGGTCCGCCGTCGGGTGTGGGAGGAACGGCAGAGCGTGCGCACGCGCTCCCGCATGTCGCGGCTGAAATCACGGATCTACGTGGCGGAGTCTCGTTGGATGCGGACGAGGGCGACGGCGCCACGTGTACGAAACTGGACACAGAGGAAGAGATGAAATCTCTGTCCCGCGTGATCGCTGCTTATATGAAGTGAGTGATTATGTGATTCTTCTATTGGTGCATGCAATAACGGGTACCTGAGTGGATTCAGCTGGACACGGAGGAGGAGATAAACTCACTCTCCCGGAAGATCGCTGCGCATATGATCATGTGACTGTTGCAATAACGGGTACAGGAGAGGATGGGAATAGTGGACGCGAGGGAAGAGATGAAATCCCTGCACATGCGATGCAATCACCCGCGATCACTCATTTAGCGATTTTATGATCTGACTTTTTTCTGTGCATTCACGATTCTATTATTGAAGTACAGTAATCTTGTGAATCAGATTCAGTCATGGGATTAATTGGGGATCCTGCTGGTACAGAGTTGAGCTCTGCTGAGTGGAAGGTGCAATGGTGGGAGCAACTGAGCCTATGCCTGATTCCATATCAGAACATCGCTCCCTGCTTACCGTATCTTTTCCCCCTCGCAGCTACCCGTTTGCTGCTGATTGGACGGTGCAGCGATGGGAGCGAGCCTATGCCAGGCTGCCGCCACGTCAGCAGGTGGGGGATTTCGTTGATGCCTCTCTCTCCCATTCCCCCTTATGCTGTGTTCGTTCTCATTCGCTCTTCCTCCCCATCCCTCCCCTCTTCTCGCTCTCCTCTCTCACCCTCCCCTCAAACCGCCCCTCACACTCTCCCCTCACTCTCCCTTCTTTGTACATAGCTCCATGCATTACTCATTCCCCCTTACGCTCTCCTTAAAGGTGAATTCACTCTGTGGCACTATTCGCTTGCCTATACTCTCAAAGTGTTACTCGATTCTCTCTGTCTGTTGTTCTGCAGGCTCTGCTGTCGCACCTGCCAGCCAAATATGCCTCTATTCGCATGTGAGTGGTTTCACCTCTGGTTCTGCTTAGACCAGTAAACGGACTGCTATGGATAGGGGAAATGGTTGACACTACATGGGCACTGCTGTCACACGTGCCTGCTAAATATGCCTCTATTCGCTTGTGGTTGGGTTGAAACTTCGTGGTTTTATGCTACTCTTGTTTCAAGCACTCGGGTGTGCACGACTCAAACGTCTCTTGTTTCTTGAATCATGGACGTTTGAGTGCTTTAGGACATCTCAAAAATCTTTTCGAACTATGAGAATCCGTTTAACTTGCCCTCTCCCATCCAGTCCCTCCTATCGCTTGCTCTTATTTTGAATGTTTATAAGCATGTTGTATTGTGCTCGTGCCTCACCCGTCCCTCCTCCTCGGCCCCCTCCATCCATACCTCCTTTTTCCTGGCCATCCTTCCCCCCCTCCATCCCCCCCTCCATCCCCCCTTCCCTCCCCCCTTCCGTTCCCCACTCCACCCCTCCATTCCCCCCTCCCCCTCCTGGCGCATTGCACACAGCGCCCGTTTCCTCACAGAAATGCTGCAAGCGTTTAAGCCTCTGTTTTACCAACTACCTTTCATCCCCTTTCATCCCCTCCTTACCCCCCTCCCTCCTCTCCCTTCCCTCCAGGCGCATTGCTCACAATGCCCGCTTTCTCACTGAAATGCTGCAAGCATTTGAGCCGCCCTTCCCTCCCCCTCATTCTTCGATGGGTCATGATGGCTATGCATGTCAGAATAACCATGACGATTCCCATGCCCATGCCCATTCCCATGCCCATGCCCATTCCCATGCCCATGCCCATGCCCATGCCCATTCCCATGCCCATGCCCATTCCCATGCCCATGCCCATGCCCATGCCCATTCCCATGACCATGCCCATGCCCATGCTCAATCTCACTCTGACCGTCACCATACTTACCACCAGCACCAGCACCAGCAGCAGCACCAGCACCAGCAGCAGCAGCAGCAGCAGCACCAGCAGCAGCGGCAGCAGCAGCAGCAGCGGCAGCAGCAGCAGCCACATAAGGAAGAGTTTTCACCCAAAAGTCTCAAAACTGCTCCTGAAACTTCTTCTGCAACTGCCAGGAACCTTCCTGTGATGGACGAACCTATGAGGCAAGACGAACAACAGGAATTTCTCAAAAGCGAAGAGGAAAGAGGAGGAAGCAAGGAGGAGAGAGGAGGAAGGGAGGACCCAGCAGCAGCAACCCAACAACTTTCAAGCAAGTTTCCCCCAACTCCAAATGTAACTCCTGATGTACCTGCTGATGTAACGCCAGATGTAACCCCTGTAGCAGTTCCAGCTCAGCAATCCCTCAAGTCATCCTTTTCCAATGTGCCTCGGGTGTACCCTCCTCCTTGGTTCCCCTTGCCTCGGGATCTCCCGGACGTGCCTCCTGCTGATGTGGACAAGGTTCGGTGCGTGCTTCGGAACATAGTTCGCGACTGGGCGGCGGAGGGCGCGGCAGAGCGAGAACAGTGCTATGCTCCCATCTTGAGGGAGCTTCGTAGGATGTTTCCTGGGCTGAGGAAAGCAGATGGGAACAGCAGCCCGGGACAACAAGCAACCTCAGAGCAGAATGAGCAGCAGCAGGAACAGCAGGAGCAGCAGCAGGATTCCTTTCACCCGTCCCATCCTCACACCCCTACCTGCCTGGTTCCAGGAGCAGGCTTAGGGCGACTTGCTCTAGAAATCTCTCGCCTGGGATTCGAAACCCAAGGGAACGATTTTTCATATTACATCCTCATCTGCTCGGGCTTTCTCCTCAATTACCCCGAGTTTCCCGGGCAGTTTTGCATCTTTCCCTGGATCCTCAGCAGTTCGAATAACCTGACGGACGAGGATCAGCTTCGGCCCGTGCTTATCCCGGACCTGGTGCCGAGCCTAGCGGGGATCACAGAGGGGTTCTCGATGTGTGCTGGCGATTTCGTGGAAGTCTACAGTCATCCAGAGCAGAGAGGTAGGCTTGGGGATAGTAGAAGCAAGGAGGCCAAGTTGGAACGATGCAAAGCAAACCTGTAGGCTTGGAGCTATCCAGGGCAGAGAGTTAGGCTAGGTATCATCCAAAGCAAAGAGGTAGGCTTGGCGCCATCCAGTTGAGAGGCGTAAACTTGGATTGCCATCGGCAATGGCCATGGTTAGGTGACATGGTAAGTACCAGTTAGTGAATTTGGTATGTGGGAAATTTATCAATATCACACGTTCGCTTCCCCCCTGCGTTGCCTGCCTCCCAGTTTTGTCCCCTGATAGTACATCCTACCTTATCTTGCCCCTGAATTCTGACCCCAATCTTTTCTCCCATTCTTGCCTCCCCTACACTACCCAATACTCCCCTTTCTCTTCCTCTTATCTCTGCACTCCTTGGAACCACCACAGGTGCATGGGACAGTGTAGGAACGTGCTTCTTTATTGATACAGCGCACAACATTGTAACGTACATCGAGATTCTTTATAAGCTGCTTCGGCCAGGTGGAGTCTGGGTAAACCTCGGCCCCTTACTGTACCACTTTGCTGATACAGTAGCTCTTGAAAAATGACCAATCAGAGTGCCCCATTTCTGGCCGCACAATTGCGTTGGTATGCTGTAATCAGCTTCAATGCTATTATAACTATGCTGTTATGAAACTGCATGAACATCTTAAAATTTGAAGTAACTCTGACAGTTCAGACAAAAAAAGTTGTGCTTGTCTGAATTTTCAGACTAAAAAAAATAGGTAACTCTGACAGCCAGCCTAGGAAGAGGGGTGTACTCTGAGGCGTCAGACTACCTCAAAACGAATCTAGGGGCCTGACGGTACTGTATGTATGCTCCATACCACTACCACTAATGACGACGTCTTACGGTACGGTACCCTCAGAAATTCAAATCCTACGGTAGTTTCTTATGGTGCACACAAAAGGAACTTAGTGTTCACTCGCGTCCAGTGAACGTGCTGCGATGTTATGCAACTATGTGCAGTCAGGGCCTCAGATTCCAGGAATTTTACCCTGATTTCCTGATGTTTGACCCCGGTTTTTTATTGTAACCCTGATGAATCAGCCTTTTTGTTTTTACAACCTTGATGAATCAGTGTTTTTCTTTTCCTAATCCTGATTTTCCAGTGTTTCTAGTTTGTCGACACTGACGAGTCAGTGTTGTATCGGAGACGACCCTGAAACCGAAAACTCCGTGATTCTCGCAGTTTTGCGCGCCGTCATCATGCATGAACCCACCCTGCACCGACGCCACCCTGCGGCGCGCCCAGATACAGTTGAACGGGTTAATTTCGGGCTGTGTTGGCAAAACGCGTAAAGAGATTGGCTGTCCCAGCTGAAGCAATGTACCGTTGTCACGTTGGATAACCTACACTTGTCATTACTTTCCATTGATGTGCACAAACAACCAAGCCTAGTGGCCCAGTGGGCCAGTGGTCTGCCTTGTTCTTTCCACCAAGGCAGGGCGTGCTGGGGCGGCCCGCTCAGGCACCCCACGTAGGGGGTCTCGTGATTCTGCCATTCCAGCTCTCCAGACTCCATCCCTTTCCGAAACATCAATCTCTGCAGTCTCCCTGAAGCCTGCTCGGCAGGCTCTCTCTCTCCCAGGGTTTCTCGTTACTACTCACCGATTCAGGAAGGTGACGTGAACGCGCCATGGCGATCACCGGTGAGAACAGCTGCGGTGATGATGACGACGATGCACTTTATGCCGCCACCGAGATGCTGGAGGCCAGAACGGGACTAGATTTTCTAGTTTCCGCGCTCTCCCATGAAAAAGAGAAGCCAGGTCCCGTCGCCTCAGTAGCAAACACTGGTGAAGCGTCTGGCCTCTGCCGCGGAGACGATCGTCCCCAGCCCGCGCATACTGCTAAGCCGGCCGTGCCGTCAGCAGCCGGACCGAGCGTCCGCTTGCCATCTCGTGCGTCGTCGTCGAAGCCTCCGCCTCGTTACAAGCAGGCCGTGCTCTGTTGGGCCGATCCTACAGATCCTGGACGTCCTCTCGCTGATGCCGGCGAGTCGGTAAACCATGTTACGCCCACGCCATCTAACTCTAAAAAACCGTCACTAACCACTCTGATTTACGAAGAGGCCCTTGAAACGTTCAAGTCGACGTGGTCGACCGACTACCCATGGCTCATCCTCATAAAAAACACTGCTGGCATGCCTGCGTTCAAGTGCAGATTGTGCATCGACTTTGCAGGTGACGGTGGCAAGTGTGGCAAGAGTGGGCACGGTGCAACCGATCTTCAGACCCAAGCCTTCAAGCGGCATGCCGCGACGAACAAGCACCAGTTGGCCATCAATCACCAGAAGCAGATGCTAGCTCAGGCTGGGAAGCAGCCGCGAATTGACGAGCATACGCTCGCCAAAGATGACGAGACGACCCGCGTCATCAGCCTTCTGAACTCCCTTCACTTCAACACCCAGAACCATCTGCCGATGGAGACGTGGGTGCGCCTCGTTCGCTACATGGCTCAGAACGAGGTCCGCGGCTTTCCCAAAAAGGGATACGGCACTTACTACACCACGTAAGTGCTTACGAGCGCATGCATTAAAAGCCTCTCCTGTTCACAACCACGTAAGCCTAACAAACATGTTCGGTGTCTATGCAGGTACGGCTTTGGGGAACTAACACAGGCAACGGCCGTGTGGCTGCAGACAACACAACTCGAACACGTCCTACAAAGCCACTACATCGGCCTCAGCTGTGACGAGTCTACGGACAGATGCCGTAGGAAGCATCTCATCATCTATGCCACATTCATCCGCGACGGGGCAGTAGTCACCGAGTTCTTTGCCCTCCTAACCGTGGACAGGGCAGACGCCGCATCGCTGGTGGCGTTGCTCTTATCCCATGTCAATGCCGTCGGCATTGACCTGCGCCGAATCACGGGCATCAGCACCGACGGGGCGAGCGTCATGGTCGGATCCAAAAACGGGCTGGTGGCGAGGCTGAGGACGCGCGTTCCGCATCTGGTGTCCTGCCACTGCATCGCTCACAGGTACGGTGGTTGATGCAGTGT